CTCTGCTTCTGATTGGCTAGTAGTCCTTAACTAGGAACTGCGCATGTGCAACTCCCAACAAAGATCATTTAGAGACAAGATGTATCACTCCATAGCTAAAACGAAGCCTTCAACACAGGGTGAAAAGAGGAGCTGCAGCAATGTGCAGTATGACAAAAATATGGTGTTTTTTGAAAATGAAACCATGTAAACCTGTTCTGGTACAACAGCTAAATAAGATTTTGAACCTGAAAATGAGCATTATACCACCTCTTTAAGATCAACAGATCTTTAGACCTTTGGATGTAAAGGAAACTACTTCAGTAATAATGATAAAAAAAGAATGCCTCTCACAATCATCTGATTTAGCTGTGACAAACCTTTTATTTAGGAACAACAAATCCAGAATAAAGCGCAGTGGCAGAGGGATGATTATTTGCAATGAATAAAATTATTTATAGTTAATCTTGCATTGCAGCTAAGGGACTCGTCTCAAGTAATAGGCTACAGTTATGTAATAATGTCACATATACTGGATATGAAGGTGGATCAAACGCAGCTATTCTTAAATGTTTAATGGGGTACAGAGGAGCACAGTATTTATTCATCATTCTTTAAGTTACACACATTACACAAGACCAATAAGGTAAGCAGAGAGTAGTAAAAAATCCACTTGTTATCCTGTAGTTCCACAGTAATATTTGGGCTGTGGGCTGTATTAAAGTATCCACTGTTCTCCTGTACTCTATAATCACACATTGACAACGAGCTATGTGCTGTTCTCCCATTCTCACTCTGTATTTACACATAAACAACAACGCGTGTAAGGGGAAATATAAATGGTTTATTCTATTAGTTTTGGTTTATTGTCTGTGTTGCTCTCCTACTTCTCCTTCTTCTTTTTACCCTCCTCTGACAAGATACCAGTGATGGCCACATCATGCTACCTCCTCTTTCTTCTTCGGAAAAAAACAACACATCAAATAATTGTTACAGGTTGAGTGCAGCTAACTTTAAATTAACTCCACCGTCACGCATAAAACATGGCTTAATAACAATCACATTTAACGTAGTTAATAATAACTATCAAGATTATTAGCTTAGCCTATGGCATTTTACACAACATAAATTAGCCTAGTGGCTAGCGGACTTTTCCTCTCCTCATCCTCAACAAATTACATGTATTATTTATACTGTGTCTTAACGCTGGTAAAGTCACTGCATCTCCCGACAACATGGTTGAATTTTCAGCCTGAACGTACATTTTCTACAGCAGCTGCTCGTAGCAACAAGCTGAAGGACTGCTGAGTCGTTTTCAGGAGGCAGAAGCGTAGCTCTGCTGCTGGGCGCATGACGTAAACAAGTTAAGTGCGAGCCCTCCCGGAACCCATAGAAATTGCATTGCATTGCAGCGGCCGCAGCTCGAGTCTATGAGGACTCCACGGAACACGACTTGACATTGATTGGCCAGCGATATTCAGTGTGGTAGAAAGTGTGAGAAAAATCCCCTAGACTGTCTGACTGACTAAAAATATTATGAATTCTTATTAACTGATGAAGTTATTACAATATAATGACTTTTTTTCTGGACATGTCAGAGAACACAGACATGTTAGAGAGATTTTGAATATGCAGAAAGTTTTGAACATGGGCAGAATTAATTTATCAATGAGGAGAGAAAAGGTGCCACAGTCACATTTAAAGAGGTTACTTTAGACAAAGACAAAAGAGGAGGGAAGACTAAATCATACATATGTGCTGACTCTACAGGGATGATATTACATGAGAAAATATTTTAATACACATTTAATATGTATTCAAATATTAATATATTAATCTGTTAAGTTCTCTGTGTGTGTAGGATGAAAGGACATCAAACTTTTGTTTTGTTCTACAACCTTGTGTTGTAAAATGACAAATAAACAACCTTGAAAAGGTTGATCTACAGGAGAAATCTAAAAGCAACACAGAGTGCCTGAGAGCTTTACTGCATTATATTCTATTATATTTGAAATTGTCACCTGCCACCTGAATGTTGTGTTTCCCTTTATATTCGTAAAGATTAGTAACACCCACCAGTTCCCCTGTAACTGCCTCAAGAAAATTGACCTTCAGTAAACACTAGTCAGCAGCACATCACAAGTCATAGGATACAGCTGCAACTATGGTTACAATATAATAAGCTATGCATGTGGTAAAACACTGAATATACTATTATTATTATCATTTCAGCTGACACAGCCATATACTCTATACAGTATTTAAGTTTTGTACATAATTTGACCAATACTTTGATTAATCTAGCTCTGAAGTTTATTTATTCACTCATAATTTGATTTTATGATTTAATGCTTTGTAGTAATTTCTTCAGTGTTTAATTTGACTTTTCTCTAATCACTCCAGCATTAAAGAGTATTTTTTCTGCCCTTGTCTTTTTTTAAGTTAAAAGGAGGAACATTACTGTCAGTCTAATTTGAAAGATTAAAAAAAACAAAAAAAAACTGATTTGACCTTTTGTGCTTTATAATCATATTGAGTAATTGAATATGTATATGAGCATGGCCTGGATGAGTCACCAACACTGAATTTAGAAATGCTTGTTAGGGACTCCATCTGTGTCACTATAAGGCTAACGGCCAAGAGCTTCTTTGAAATTGCCCGTGTTTGTATTAGAACTAAGGGTGGGTTGGTTAAGGTGGTGTTAGAGTAGGTGTCGATGAGGGGCCCAATTTGAAAAATGTTGTCCCCCTGCCCGTAATTCCTAATGGTGGGCCTGTCCCGAACTGTTTGTTATTCATGTAGTTTCAAATGATTTAGTTCATAAAATAGTTGTTTACATGTGGTTTTGTAACAAGCTAACAGAATAGTTTGACAGTCCCTGGATTTGGTGCTTTGTACTCACCTTGTATGTCAGCATTAGGCTACTATTACCAGGGGAGGTCTGCTGATTGTAATTTTCACCACAGGGCCACATAATTCTGTTCTTTACACTTGCCTGGGTGGGTTTAGCACTGCAGGATAAAATTGGTAATGTAATCTAGCACATTACATTATGTATTATTTGTATCTGCTATCAATTGCAAGAGGGTGAATAATTTCTGTCAGATTACAGAATATGGCTGCTGTGTAGTGATGATCTCACTCAAACGTTATTGATGATAAACCTGGCTGAATGTAGGAGTATCCGACATCAAACTGTGAACTGTCTTCACCAAGGTGTTTTGACCACGGTATCCAAAACGTTGTTTTCATAACATGCTGTGCAACGTGATGTAAACAAACTATGCATAAAAAAGCATTCATCTGCCATCATATTATCATGTCAAACCTCTCATACTCGTTCGCATCACACAGCTTGTTCATAAGATGCATGTAAGCTGGTCCAACGTAATAACCAGCGTAATAACCAGCAAACAACTAACGTTAGGTACAGTCATTGTTTGCTAACAGCTGTAAGCATGACCTAGCTAACGCTAATTTAGTGTTTAGCTAGTGACGTTTGTTAGTACCAGACAAAAAGACGACATCTAACGTTATATGTTTACAAACTGAAAATGGAAATATTGTTCAAATGTCTGCCATCGTGTTCCTTTATCTGGTCAACACCATGTAGCATGTATTTGTTGTATTGTACTGCATACAAGGAGACCTATTATACTGCTTTTCCAGCCCTATATTGTAGTTCTGTGACTCCTGTATGGCAGCTTTGCATGATTCAAAGTTCAAAAAAATTATTCTCTGTCTTATACTGATTCTTCATGAAGGCCTTCTTTTCAGTCTCTGTCTGAAACAAGCAGTAGATGCTCCTGTCTCTGTCCACCACACCTTAAAGCTCACTGTCTTCTGATTGGCCAAGACCTGAAGCATGTTACCAGGCTGTTGTTGTTGCTGGGCGGTACAGGCAGACTGAGCGTTGCTGTGCCGTTGCTGTGGGAGCAAATGACCATATGTAACACTGGATCCGTCTAGCTCGTTATGTCATAGAACGGAGCCATTGGTAGAAAAAACAGTTCAAAACAACAACAGTGTACAGGACAGTAGGAAATCAGAGGTTTTTGCTCACAGGGATTTCTTTTAAATATTTAACCTCATTATTTGAAGCTTTGGCCATGTTTAACATGAACATCCAATACTGAAACTTTTTAGATACTCATAAAATGAGGAAAAGCATAATAGGTCTCCTTTAACCTTATCGGTCCATTGGGTTAAAGCTAGCTTGACTTACAGCTATTGATGGGACGCTCCAGTGTCTCCACTTTGACATCCTTCCAAAATTATAGATTTGTATTAAAATTAGATTTGTGTATGTGTGTGTGTATATATGTGTGTGTGTGTGTGTGTGTTATTATTATTGGGTTTTTTTTCCACTTATTTATTTGCTCAATGTCCCGCCCACAGCACTATCTGATTAGTTACACATAGCGAATAATAGCTTATATATCAACACTTTGCTCTGGTGAGCAGCAGAGCTGTGATGAGACTGCAGCCAATATTACTGAAGGTGCAATAAAATCTGAAGCTCTTTTCTATGATGATAAGCATAGAAACAGTTACACCAGTCTGAACATGCCCAAGGTCACGGCTAAGGGGTTTCACTCTGACACTCTTGAAAGTGACGGCTTTTAAATCAGTTGCTCTTCCCTTACCCACTCGCTGCGCTTAAACACAGCATGCATCCGTCTTCTCTTTATTTTCATTGATCGCGATGTAACGTCATATATTTACTACTTTAAAAAGTAACAGTGGCACTAAAACTTTTTCTCAGACTATGATGGTTAAACTTTGCAATCAATCCACATTTCACTTGCGTGCCAGTGAGGTGGAGGGGGTATTTTCATGACAAAAAAAACTTTTGAAAACATCCCTCCACTGTTTTCTCACAAATTGCCTCATAAACAGATAACATGAACTAACGCTGGTGTAGAGGATAGTAATCTCAGTCACTGAAAGCTATTTATGGTCACAGTATTATGAATGTTGTGCACTTAGTAGTCCTCTTCTTTGTCTTTGGCTGTTTTCAGAACTCAGGTATTGAGAAGGCCTTCCTGTTTGATGTGGTCAGTAAGATTTACATTGCCACAGACAGCAGTCCAGTGGACATGCAGACATATGAACTGTGTTGTGACATGATCGATGTGGTCATTGACATCTCCTGCATCTATGGGTAAGTCAATGAACTCTGTCAACAAGCCATAATATAACCAGCCCATCAAGGGGATTATACAAACTTCTGCAATTTCACATAACCTAAACATTGTTGCAACTCTATCAGAAATAGTGTAGTTCACTTCCTACATGTGAAAAGAATGGGATCCATAAGAAAATGGAAAGTCAAGATCTGATTGGTAATTGTAGGTAGTTTTTGTTGGTCTTCAGTACCATGTTGGTGCTGAGAAATTGCTATAGGCTGCCAATTAATGATCATGTAATACATTGGACAAATGTTGTGTTTTAGAAATGTCAGACAATTGGTAATTCCAACTTCTAACAATAACAAAATTATGCCCTTCAAATCTAATTTACAAATGAGGTTTCTCAACCAGTTTTCTGAGCTGTACGTATCTGATGTGATGCCACCATGGCAATATTTCTAAACATGTTTCTAAACATGCCTTCTATTTTATTTTCTACATCTGTAAAAGGCTATAGTTATACCTATATATTAAGTGAATAGTTAATCATCTGCAGCTCCCCTCAGCTTAAAGGTTTAGTGTGTAATTTTTAGTGGCATCTAGTGGTGAGGGAATTGCAACCAGTGGCTCATGGTGCATTCACATGCTTCTCGGATGGTCCCATTTCCCAAGTTGTGAGGTTATTCTTCCAACTTCAGTGTGTGTTCATGTGCTCTTAAATTGGAATGTGGAATCATCATGGACTCTACTACAAAAATGTGTTGGGATTAGCATTATCAGAGCTTATAAACAACACGCTGACATCTAGTTCACTCTACATGGACAGCAAACTAACCGTAATAACCATTTTACAAACTGCATGTTTGATTTTGCATGAATCACAGTTCTGTATACTTCTTAATGTCCCGTGTACAGTTTATTTCTCTTTTTGCAATAAAGATTCAAGGAAGAAAAGATTGTGATTGTTCCGACACCACATAAATGCACCATAAGTCAATGCTCAACCATCCCTTTCCGAGTGCACTGGAGAAGTGGCCGACACGCTCTCTCAGCTCTTGTGCTAAATAATATGTGTGGTCCTCCATTTGTCAAAAATTCTTTTCTTTTCTTACTTCTAATAAACCAGACTACTACTACTACTACTGCTACTACTAATGTTACTTGTTCTTATTCTTCTTTGTATGTATTCAACGTAGTGACGAAATGTGCTCTGTAGAGCCGTTTGTCCGTTAGGATTACTGTAGAAACATGTTGGCGTAACATGGCGACCTGTGGTAGAAATGGCTCATTCTAAGGTAATAAAAACATAACGGTTCATTATGTAAGGTCTTTATACACCACTGAAAACATAGTTATGGATATTATATTGCATCTGTAACAAAGCATAATGTCGCTTATCCCCAGCACTCCTACATATACTTATGACATTTCTTTAATAATTTTTTAAAGTTTAGGGATCCATGTTAAAAAATTTAAATATACAAATATCCAATATTTTTAATTTCAATTATCAATATTGTTATCCATCTCAAAAATCCGGTATCTGTTGGAGTCTTGTGAGATGAAATCTTGTTAAGCAGTGTGTGCCTTAATTATACACACCTTGATAGTCTTAATGGGTCATTCTCAGGAAACCAATGATACAATGGCCAACTTTTCAATATAAAAGTAAAGTATTTTGAGCTGAAATTCTCATTACTACTATGCGTCCACATTCATTTGAATGGATGTTCGATTGATTTTTTAGATTGAATAAACTCAAAGATCATCAATAAAACAAATTGCATATTGTTTATTCAATTCAATTTTATTTATATAGCGCCAAATCACAACAACAGTTATCTCACAGCGCTTTTCATAAAAGAGCAGGTCTAGACCGTACTCTGTGATGTTATTTACAGAAGCCCAACAGTTCCCACCAAGAGCAAGCACTAGGCAACAGAGGCAAGGAAAAACTTCCTTTTAAGAGGCAGAAACCTCGAGCAGAACCATGGCTCAGGGTGGGCGGCCATCTGCCTCGACCGGTTGGGGTGAAGGAGAGAGAGGGAGAGAGAGAGGGAGAGAGAGAGAGAGAGAGAGAGAGGGCAGGAGAGGTACAGAGAGAAAAAGAGGGATGGAAGGAGAGAGGGAGGGGAGGGAGGCAGCCTACACAATATACACACAGAGGTACAGACAGTGAAGGAGATGTTGCTATAGACTAAATGAAAAAATGGTACAGATATTTATAGTAGTGTTAATGATAACAGTCGTAGTGTTAATTATTATAATAACAATAATAATAATAGGACTAGTAACAATAGTCGTTGCAGCAGAGGGTGTTGAGCAGGAACACGGAGGCAGCAGGTGACCTGCAACCACAGATCCAGACTCCACTGCTCCAGAGCCAGAAACACCTGCAGGGAGTGATAGGAGGAGAGAGGAGAGGGACGAGAAAGCACAAGGCTACCAGAAAGGGGAGAAGTTGTGTTAGTAACATGCAATAATGGGATGAGGTTGTATACAGAGGGAGAGAAAGTAGAGGAGAGAGGAGCTCAGTGCATCATAGGAAATCCCCCGGCAGTCTAGGCCTATAGCAGCATAACTAAGGGATGGCCCTAACTATAAGCTTTATCAAAGAGGAAAGTCTTAAGCCTACTCTTAAATGTAGGAGAAATATGATCTCTTTTCCTGGTTCCTGTCAGAACACGTGCTGCAGCATTCTGGATCAGCTGAAGAGTCTTAACGGACTTTTTCGAGCAGCCTGATAATAAAGAATTGCAGTAATCCAGCCTAGAAGTAACAAATGCATGGACTAGTTTTTCTGCATCATTTTTAGACAGGATGTTCCTGATTTTCACAATATTACGTAGGTGAAAAAAGGCGGTCCTTGAAATTTGCTTAATGTGAGACTTAAACGACATGTCCTGATCAAAGATAACTCCAAGATTCCTCACAGTGGTGCGGGAGGCCAGGGCGATGCCATCAAGGGAAACTATATCTTGCATAGGCCCCAGAACAATAACTTCAGTTTTATCTGAGTTTAACATTAGAAAATTACAGGTCATCCAGGTTTTAACATGCTGAAGGCACATTTGAAGTTTAGCTAACTGATGAGTTTCATCTGGTTTGATCGATAGATATAACTGAGTATCATCTGCATAACAATGAAAGCTTATGGAATATTTCCTGATAATATTGCCTAAAGGAAGCATATATAAAGTGAAGAGGATTGGTCCAAGGACAGATCCTTGAGGAACTCCATGACTAACTTTGGCATGCATGGAGGACTCATCGTTAACATGTACAAACTGAAATCGATCTGATAAGTAGGACTTAAACCAGCTTAGAGCGGTTCCTTTAATGCCAATGAAATGTTCCAGTCTCTGCAATAGGATCTGATGGTCAATGGTATCAAATGCAGCACTAAGATCTAATAGAACCAGTACAGAGACAAGTCCTTTGTCTGATGCAATAAGGAGGTCGTTAGTAATTTTCACCAGTGCTGTCTCTGTGCTATGATGAGCTCTAAATCCTGACTGAAAATCCTCAAATAAACTATTGCTCTGTAGAAAGTCACACAGCTGTTTAGCAACTGCTTTCTCCAGAACCTTAGAGAGAAATGGAAGGTAAGATATAGGTCTATAGTTGGCTAAAACATCTGGATCAAGTTTGGGCTTTTTCAGAAGAGGTTTAATTACAGCTACTTTAAAGTACTGTGGTACATAGCCTGTTGATAAAGATAGATTGATCATATCTAGTATAGAAGTGCTGACTAAGGGTAAAACATCTTTAAGCAACCTAGTCGGGATGGGGTCTAAGAGGCAGGTTGATGGTTTAGATGAAGAAATTATTGAAGTTAGTTGGTAAAGATTGAGGGAAGCAAAACAGTCTAAACATATATCTGGTTCTACAGCTGTTTCTAAGGTTCCTGAGTTAAGAGATAAGTTGGTGCCAGTTGAGGGCAGTTCTTGGTGAATTTTGTCTCTAATAGCTAGAATTTTATCATTAAAGAAGCTCATGAAGTCGTAACTACTGAGAGCTATGGGAATACTTGGCTCAATAGAGCTGTGACTCTCTGTCAGCCTGGGTACAGTACTGAAAAGAAACCTGGGGTTGTTCCTATTTTCCTCTATTAATGACGAGTAGTACGCTGCTCTGGCATTACGGAGGGCCTTCCTATAAGTTTTAAGACTATCTTGCCAAATTAAACGAGAATTTTCCACTTTGGTGGAACGCCAATTCCTCTCAAGTTTCCGCGATATTTGCTTTAATTTGCGAGTTTCCGTATTATACCATGGAGCTAACCGTCTTTGTTTTAGTATTTTTCTTTTTTAGAGGGGCTACAGAGTCGAGTGTCATTCGCAGCGAGCCTGCAGCACTATCAACATGATGATCGATTTGGGAGGGACTGAAACTAGCATAGGAGTCTTCCGTTACTTTGTGACTTGATAATGAATTTAGAGCTGATGGAATCGCATCCTTAAATTTGAAATTATATTATTATGTCTTGTAGTAAAGGAAAACAAAGTGCATAATACAGTTATATTTTAAAATTACATTTTTTTTGTGGAAAAACACCGTGGATGCAATTCTCATCCTCTGTAACATTGTTCACCCTCCTGTAAAAGCTACAGTATTTTTTTATAAAGTTTTATTCTCCCGTGATGCATCACAAAGAAGAGAAGCTACAAGATGGATAACAGCTAAGCTAAGTCTCTTAAATTTTTCACACTTTGAAATCAAAACTTCCCTCTTCAACCCTTGTACGTCAAAATTGATTTTCATTATCTCAACGTGAAATATTACTTGTTTGAAAAAAGCTTTGATTATCCATATTGTATTAATATAAAGGTAAATATGTTCCTAACATCATGAAAAAGTTTTTGGTGAGTCTAAATGGCTTCTCCATTTTTAGCGAAATATGCTAGCTCTATTCATCCTCCGCAGCAAACATCTCATTTACTGCTACACTCTGATGCCTGTTGCGATAAGTGAATTATTGTTTTATATTTTATTTTATCTAGGAGCACGTAGCGCCACCTATAGGTTTATG